GGGGGCGCTCAGCCATTCCCATGTCGTGGGCCTCCTGCTCCTTACCTCTGGGCGCAGCGACCCCGGGCTCGGGCTGCACGTCCACTGCAAGTGAAGTCAGTCCTGGTTTAGCCACAGGAGTGAGCAGAAGCTACCGACACAGGGACCAAAAGAACCGGGCTTGCCGGCAACTAAGGAACACGAACCGCAACTGAAATCAGGCCACACAGGCAGATCCCGCCGCCCAGGACCCTGGTGGCACCGGCATCTATGTGCTAAGTGACAGCCCCCTTCCCCCGCCGGGCACGGCCACGGTCCCCTCCCCTGCAGGCCGGGTCCCCCTCCCCAACTTGCCATCCTCGCTGTCCCCGCCGTCCTGCCTCTGCTGGTGGATCTCCTTGTGCTGCTCTTCAATCACCGCCAGCAGCTTCTCCTGCTGGTCCAGGAGGCGCTTCTGCTGCACCTGCTGTTCCTTTATCACCTGCAGCAGGACAGCATGGTCCAGCATCTCCACCCGGCCAGCTTCTGGTGTTCAGAAAACCGGAGAACACACACAGTCAGAGCCTGCTGGCTGCAAAGGCACTACGCTAGGCTGAAGGTGGCGTGATGTGCACAGAGATGCCAAGGTGGCCTGCGGGACCCTCCCTGAGATCCCCTGGCTGCTCCTCTCCGTCCAGCTGGCTCAGCCAGCACCCAGGCCACCCCGGGGCAGAGCCATGGCCTCTCCAGTGACCAGACACCCTTCCAACTGCTTTGGTCCCAGGGTTTATGGGGGCCGAGAGGGAGATCCCATGCTCCCACAGCAATGACGGCGGTCTGGGCTGGGACCTGGGACCTGTGAGCTATTCTGAAAAAGAACACTGGTGCTTTAAGAGAGCTTCCTGCAAGGGAAGACTTAAACACAATCGGAACCATCTTCCTCTTCAGCAGAGACACAAGCTGGGGCCTCAGAGAGACGGAGGCTGTGACGCCACTGCCACCGGCCCCACCTCCCCCAGGAAGCCGGCTGCGGCTGGCACGGAGCAGCGCCAGGTGAGCTGAAGGGAGGCGGCTGCAGCCGGCGTGGGAGGAAGCCCCCTGCAGACCGTGGACCCAGAGGAGGCCCCGAGGCTGGACCTGAGCATGCGGGCCGCTCACACTGCACCACGAACATCCTGGCACCGAGTCAGCTCTTCTCAGCCAGCAGCCTCGGTTTAAGTCACTTTTAAACATGATTGTCTACAAACAGGAGACTATGACAGACGACACATGCACAGGTCGTCAGATATGAAAGCTCGAATCGGAAGAAAGAAGACCGTTTTGTGAGCGGCGCGAGCTAACACCCCGGAGGGGGCCCACGTGCCGGCAGACACAGATGGGCTGGCCTGTCCTCCGTAATGGTGACCTGTGACCCTCCAGACAGGGCAGGGCTGGCCTTCTCCCAGAGGCCGGTGCCGGGACATGCGGCCGGGCAGGCCCGTGAGGGACGTGCCGAGGCCAGCCACGGGGAGGTTGGGCCCCTGCTCCCTGCCAGGCTGGCGTCCACACATCCTAAGGTGATCGAGGTGCCTGCCTGAGAAAGCCCGGGTTCTGTAGGTCAGAGTGGGGCTCTGCTCACCCCTTCAGATGAGGACACAGCGTGTCCCCACAGGGCTCCAGGCCTGCCCCCTTGGCCACGGCCATGCTGTCACCCTGGGTGTGGTGGACACGCTGCTGGCACCACCCATCCCCAGTGAGCGGGTCTCCGCCTCACTGGCCTGGTGGAAGGAGGCTGGAGCGGGGAAGTCCACCACAACCCCCCAGGAGCAGGTGGGACAGACGTGAAGCAGAGTGGCGGTGCTGGGCTCCATGGGATGGAGCCATGCGGATGTTAATCCATTAATACCAGGCCGTGCACACGGCGGAAGTCACACACAGGCCCCTCCCTGTCTGGGGGGGACAGGTGCTCATAGGCTGCACTCGGCTGTGCTCCAGTGACAGCGGAGCCACCGCAGGGCTGAGGAACCCGGGCATCTGTGCAAGAAGTGGGGCAGGGGCATTGGGGGGCCCCACCTGAGGGGCTGCGGCCTGGCCGGGCAGGGAGCAGGCCGTGTGTGGCTCCTGGGGTCGGGCCCACAACGCCTGCTCTCGCATCTTTAAACCCCGACGAATGCCTCACTGTGACGCCCTCCCGACTCCTACCTGCCACCATCTTTCTGATCTCAGCTGCATGTCCCATCGAGAGGCGTGTAGAGAAAGGCAGAATAGGAGGCCGTGAAAGTTCTTTTCAGAAAAGAAAAAGTCAAAGAATCAAATAGGCTCAGGCAACAGGTTATAAGGACCAGGACCAGTAACACGAGACTGAAACCAAAGAAGAGATCACGGGCGGAACCCCTGGCGCTCCCGGGGCGCTCTGGAGCCGCAGGGTGCTAGCACCCTCAGCTCTGCCTCCCTGGCCTCTGGGTGGGCAAAGGCTGGGCCGACTCCCTGCCCAGTCCTCCAGGCCAGCTGTCTCGAGGCTCGTGGAGGAGGGAGGAAGCTCGTGGGGCAGCAAGGTGCCAGTGTCCCGCGACCCCCATGCACAGACCCAGACTCCCAGCACCCAGAGTGCACCCCAGGGCTGCTCTGCGGACGCTGCTAGCAAATACGGTGACACAGGGGACTCAGACTGGGCGGGGACCAAAAACCAGGACGGGTGACCACTGGCTGTGACAGCTGCCACCACCTCTAGCGCGGGGGCAGCGCCCGGCCAGGTGGGGCCACAGGAGGGAGGTCGTTAACAGCGAAGAGCTGGGAGCAAGTAAAACGGGCCGGAAGGCCTAGAGGAGGCCGCAGGGCAAGTTTCATTCACTGGAGACAAAAAGTCAGATGAGCTTGCACCGCAGGACCGGCACTGGGGCTTCACCGCAGGTGGACACGGCACCGCTGCCACGGGGTCCCAGGACAGCAGGAAGTCACCCAGCTCCCCTTCACTAATGCCCCACACCTGGCCGGTGCGTGGGGAATATTATCATATCTACTTTGAGATGAAAAACGAATGGTACCAGAAGTCACGTGACCTTAACCTTTTTTTTCCAAAGGGGGAGAAAAGGAGATTAAAAAAAAAGATTTTGGTTGGGGGGGCGCCAGAGAAGAGGCTGTCAGTGGGAAGGGGGCTTTTTAATGTCTTTCCTCAGCAGGAAGCTCAAGAGAGCAGAGGCTGGGACCCAGAAAGGCCCCCGAGATGCCAGGCACCTGGAGACGCCAGGCACCTGTGGCTCCGTCCCTGTCGTCACCACGTCTGGAAGGGGCAGATGTCTCCAGGCCCTGGGGGGGGATGTGGTGAGAAAGCAAAGGCCTTACCCTCCAACTTGCTGCCGGCGTGGTCCCCTCCAGGTCCCTCTGCATTCCTCTGCTCCCGGGGCTCTGCCTGCGGCCCTGCCCCTGGGGCCGGCTTCTCCTCTGGGAGGGGGGCCTGCCCACCTGCACACACAGTGAGGACTCAGGAGGTTTGCAGAAAATGTGGACAAACGCAGAGGAGGGACAAGAGGAGGTGACAGGTGTTCCCTAAAATCACCCTCCACTTCGCCCCCTCCCTCCCCTGCCAGCAGTTTATATTCAACCTGATGATTACCAGGGAGGCAATGAAAAATATTTAACAATCTCACAGGCTTGTGGCAGGGAGCCAGTGGTAACCACCTTTGCCAGTTAACATGCAGGAACCGTCCTCAGCAGCCCTGGGACGGCACTAACGATGCGGCACCTGTCAGGCCAGCCGCGCCCGTGCGCCCAGACGTGCAGGAGCACACGACACATGACGTTTAGCAGTCTGGCAAACAACCGAGTGACAGGTATTAGCTTAGCTGTCAGGCCGCCAGACTCCTGGTCCCCCCGCCTACCCAGATGCAGAGGCCAGCTACGTTCACACGCTGATCTTGCAAGAAGAGAAAGGCAGCGGGACAGAAGTGAGGGTGGTCAGTCCCTCCTGCCCCTCCCCAGCCTCTCCCGGGCCCACACCGAAGGAGCCGACACCCACCAGGCTCGCTCTTCTCTGCCGGCTTGGCATGGTCCAGCGGCGGGACGCCGTCCGCTCTGTCCCCTGCACCTGCCACTGGGATGTCCTGCCCCTTAGGGAGCACCGCCTGGGGCCCTGGATGGACAGCCCCGTTGCCCGGCCCCACGGGCTCCTCTTTCACGGGCTCAATGGCTGGCTGACCATTTTCTTCTGGAACCTTCTGGGGAACCTCAGGAAGTCCGCCCGCTGCCTCCAAAGCCTGGTCTCGTCTGGGTCTCTCTCTCTCTGAATCCAGCGGGAGCGGCACCACCTGACCCTTGCCCCCTAGAGCCCTTTCATCCACATGTTTGGACGGACGCTCATTCTCCGGTCCCTCTTGGTCTTGACCTTCATCCACCACCACCTTGTCGTGAGGGACGGGGGGTTCGTGGCGGTGGGCCTCGCCCATAGGTACCGCAACGCCTGGAAGGAGACAGAGGACGTGGTGGGTGAGCATGGAGGGTGGCCCGGCCTTCCCGCCCAGGGCCTGAGAACGGAGTTCTAATCCCAACTGACCGACCACCCAACCAAGTGACCGCTGTCCAACCGAGGTCTGACGCTGTTCTAGGAAGTTACGGGAGTGGCAGCCTCCGTCTGAGTCACAGGATGAAGGGGCAGACAGGGCCGGGACCGGGCAGGGCTGAGGGGAAGACCTGCGGGCCCGAGAGCCCCTCCCCATGGACGCCAACAGCCCTCTCCACCCTCCCGCCCGAGAAGGGTCACACCACCTTGACCGGGGCGATCCAGCTGCACCTCCTCCGGCTTCTCCTTGGTGTCCTCCCTCGGGGGCACGTTCACAGGGCCCTTGATCTGGGCCTGCTCCATCTCCTCTTTCTCCTCGGGCAGCTTCGGCTTATCCCGGCCGTCCTCGGCCGCGTCCACAGCTGGCTTCTGGCCTGGAAGTGCAGCACAGATAACACAGCGGGGTTTCCACATGGCTGCTCCGCCAGTCAGCAGGGCAGCGGGGCGGCTTCCCTGCACTGTAATCACGTTTCCCAGTTGAATGGTGGAGCCTAAGCTGTCACTTTTTTTCCTGTTCAATCATTAGCAGCTAAGCAGCACAGGAGACCGTCGTTTTCCATGTGTATTCATAACAGAAATAGGTCAAAATGCAATTTACACCTAACTGGGAGCCAAGGAGCGACACTCTATGCAAGACTGGCCGCCACCACCAGGTGGCAGCATGAACCCACCATCTGAGGCCTAGGGACCCTAAGTGCCTGCGTCCTCCCTCTTTGGGGACAACCACTGCGCCCAAGCCCAACCCCTTGCTGCAGGCCGGGGTGCGCATGGAGCTGGTGTGAAAATTCTCATCAAAAGGAAGGTGAGAAAGAGACAGAGCCTGCAAAGCTGAGCGTTCCCGCCGCCCACGCCGCCCCATATCCCACACGGCCGGCCTCTCCCTCCAGAAGGCCCCACCCCACGGTGGGTGTCAGGGAGGGCGGCAGGAGGACCGCCTGCGGAGCCGGGCCAGGATGGCGCCTGCTGGGAACCTCTCTCCACTAACAAAGCCACTTGACGTGTTGGACAAACGCGGCAGAAACTGAAGAATTATCCAGGAGAAGAGACTTCTAAAAAGAGTCACTTCATCCCCGAGGCACAAAGCAGCCGCTTCCCTCCCCTCTCAGGGCATAAGCTGCCTGGCAAAGTGCAGGCGGAACCCCCTGAGGTGGCGGGTCTGGGGCACTCACGACAGTCCATTCAGACGGGCCTGCTCCCTCCCCCCCAGAGGAGATGGGCCTGGGACAAGCTGAGGTGCTGGCCCGGGGCACCTGCAGCCGCTGAGGGGCGGTGTCTGAGACAAACTGGAGGGGGGGGCCCTGCCGGGCAGGAGCCAGACCCTGGGCTCCTTGTGTGGCCAAAGGACCGACTCCAATAAGCACGTGGCATCTGCGCCACAGATAACCCCACCTCCACCCCCGAGGAGGCCCCTGTGCTCAGACAGGAGGTGTCTGTCCAGCAGGTTACAGAGCTAAGAAGGGGGCTGGGAAGGGAAGGAGAAGCACAAGACGTTCCGTCGCAGGACCAAGTCATTTGCTCGGCAGAAACAAAATTCGCCCATCATCAGGCCTCGCAGCGTTGGGGGGGGGTCCACCCAGGCCGCAGAGTGACCTGAGGCTGGGTGTGAGCGAGGGACGCTGGTGCACAGCGCGGCCGCACCCGGCCCGCAGCGCCTCGTGGCCGACCTTGGGCATCAGACAGCGTCTCTACAAGGAGCCGAGCTCCTCGTGGGGACAGTCTGCCAGCAACGCCTCTCAGCAGCAGTGAGACTAACAGAAAGACGGGCATCACCTGAGCGGCCGCCCCAGGGAAAGACAGATGCTCAGGCCCAGTCCTCCTCCAAGAAGCGGCAGCAAGTCTGCGGGGAGCAGCCAGCAGAGGGCGCCCCAGCCCCAGAGGTCCTCCTCTCGGCCTCAAGGTCATGGCCTCCGCTACTAAAAGCAGGAACCAGACCCACGTCTGCGGTGCCCCCTGACCTGCCCGCCTCGTCCACATTCAGGCCCTCCTGGTGCTGCCCTGGGCCAGGAGCTCCGGAGACAGACGTGCCAATGGACATCACTGGTCAGACTCCTTCCAGAGTCCTTGGGGGGCTCCGGGCGATCCTTTACTGGCTCAAGGTGTAAGGACCTAAAGGCTACGGAAACCCGCGGTTGTGAAACCCAGGACCGGGCGGCAGTTTGGGGGTGCCATGGCCAGAACAGGCCTGCCCACTGCACTGAACAATCTGCGTTCCAGGCTGGCTCCACCTTGGAAGATGGGGGTTGGGGCTGGGGCTCCTCCTTGTGGACTCTGCCCCGCAGGAGCCCTGTTCTGACACGGGGGTGTCTCTCTCTGTGTGATCAGTAAAGATGGAAGCCGTCCTCCCTGACGGCCAAACGCAAAAATAAAGTGAATTTTAAAATCGCAACTGAGTCCCACAGGTGGAGCCCCTGTTGACTGGAGGGGACCCCAGGTCCAGGAGACGCACAGGCCCCCAGGGCTGTGCACTCAACACTACTTTGAAAGGCCAGGCCCTGCTTCTGAGCAGCTGTGCTGACCACCTCGAAGTGGCCGCCTCGACGCCACCGTGAGGTGTCGCTCGGTAACCCCGCTCCTCCTGACTCAGGCAGAAGAGAAATCCTGACTGTTACACTCCTGTCTCTGGATGAGTGGGAACCCCAGCGGGTCTTGGACCTGGCTCTCCTGCAAACAGGCAAGTCTGCCCATGGGCAACAGGCAGAGGCGGGTGTGCCATTCTCTGCGGGACCCGTGAGGGTGGCCAGGTCACTCTGGGCTGGACCCGGGAGGCAGCGCCCCTCCCGCCCCCAGGAGCCCTTCTGAATTTGGCTGCAGCTGGAGTGGTTATGTCAGCAGTGGTGAAATGTGCTCAGGGCTGTGTCCTGACACACGGGCAGAAAGCTGGACAGAAATCAGGCAGCAGAGCAGTGGTAACAGCCCTTCTCTGCGGGGCACAGGCGGAGCTGCGGGGCCAGGGAGAGGAGGCAGGCGTGGTGCCAGGCCTCCCCACAGGCACGCTGGCGTCTGTCATGCGGGTTGGAGCCTTCCTGTCCACACACACGGGCTGCTGGTGTAGCAGCAGAAGGCGCACAGCCTCAGGAGAGCAAATACGAAAGAGCTGGGGGATGCCAGCTCCTGCTTGGGCCCGCGGTCACCCTCAGCCACCTATGTCCCCACATGTGGACGTGCTGCCACCCACAGGCCCCTTCCTCTCCTCCCAGCAGAGGCAAGCCGAGTCCCACCAGGGGAAGGGACTCGATGTACAAGGGGTCAGGCCAGAGCGGCCCCAACACCACGAGGAGGTGTGGGTGGGAGGGAGAGGAGGGGAGGGACACACAGTTCGGAGAAGGAGCCACGAGTATTTCAAACTCTGAACCACCTGTCAGACCCGGGGCGGAGAGGCATCAGGCTTGAGTTGAGCAGCCTCAGAGCCTTTCCTAACGGGCTCGGCCACCTCTTCCGAGAGAGAGCACCGGGCTGGGGGAGCGGGTCCTGCTTGTCCCCAAGGGCAGGACTTCTGCGTCAGTCCTGAGGCCAGCTCAGGAGCTAAGGAAAGTTGGCACTGTCCTGGCCTCTATGACACTAGAGAGGCCAATAAACCACCCCACACGCAGACGGGAGACGTCTGCTGGGGAGCACGGCCAAGGCCCGCGGGCCCAGCTCTGCTTCCACAAGGCAACCCGTGAATGATGGGGGAGGCTGGGGGTGAGAAAAACGGAGACCACGTTAAACAAACGGCGTGTGGTTCCGAGAGGGGCCATGTGTTTTGTTACAGACTCATGGAAAAAATGGAAACCAGATGTGGCCGCGGCGGGCTCCAGGTGAGCCAGAGGCCCGCCTCCCCGACAGGACGCAGCTGCTAGCACTGCTTGGGCTGCAGGCTGAGCCACGCAGTGGGGACAGGCAGCCCGGGGCCGGCTATGCCGACTGATGCCAGGAAGCCCACCACCGGGCAGGCTCGTGGCCAGCAGGGACCGCACACAGGACCCAAGACGCCGGAGGGGGTGCGGTGGGGGAGGGGGGACCCAGCGGGGCTGCCAGCAGGGGTGGAGGAGTGACACCCACCTCCCTCTTCAAGTGACTTTTTCCCCGTCCAAGTGACCAAGTCCACGCAACTCAGCGTGGGGCACCCAGGCAGCCTCTGACCACTGACTGATTTCTCCGCGGACCCCGCGTCCCTCAGGGCTCTCTCTGCAGGGAACCCCCGAAGGGGGAATCTTCTCACCAGCCCTCGCCACCCCAGGAAGGCAGAGGAGAGCATGTCCAGCTACTCCTGGCTTAGGGCTCCCCGAAAAGAGCCCCAGGAGAGACTGTTCTCCCACAGGGAGCTGGGGCGGGGCTGGCTCCGCAGACGTTCTCTGAGCACAGGGAGGTGAGGCAACACATCTGAGGGTCCCAAGCCTCCGACTGGGCCACAGCCAGCCCGGCCCTGCAGGCGCCCCGGCACGCTCGCCCCCTCCCCCACCCCGCCGGCCAGCCCTTGGGGCCTCTCCTTTCTGTCAGTCACAGCAGGTGCCAAAACCCGGGCTCCACCTGGACTCAGCCACCACCGCCCAAAGGGACCTGGAATTCACCAGCAACCAGCACCATCCCCAGAGGGGAGTGCCAGGCGGGCAGGCTGGGGAACCTCAAGCTGAGCCAGAGGTGAGCGAACACGCACTCACTATTGGTGTGAATACAGGACCCCAACATCATCAGGGCAGAAGCCCCCACAACGAACCTTCTCGCAGGACCACCACCAACACCCAAACCTAATGCCGCTCGGAGCTGCCGGGCGGCGGCACGGGCCGGGGGGAGGGGCCCTCCCCGCACCCTCCCATCTCTGCCTGGGAAGGCACGGGCTCCAGGCACCTCTTCTCTCCCAACCACCAGGCTGCTGTACCTCGGGAAGCCACACTTGGAGCCTGCCTGCTCCTCGCTGGGCGGGTGGACGAGAAATAACACGAAGTGGGGAGCAGAGCCGAGGGGGGTCACTGACTCTGTCCAGGGAAACCCAGCTCGAAAGTCACGTCCTCAAAGTGAAACAAGCACATGTGAGTGGTGCCCACGTTTACTTACCTGTTAGCGCACTGAGCGGGGGCGCTGAGCTCTCGGCCCTGCTGCCCCTCATCCGCTGTCCACCGTCTGTCCTCTGCACACAGGTGGTGCACCTGCCAGCCCCCTGGGTGCCCCCCGCCCCTAAATCACCAAAGAGGATAGAGGCAGCTGGGCAGGTAAGACAGCCTGCAAAGTGCCACCTGCGTCCCCGTGACCCCAAGGTGATGCTACCAGGGTGTCCCCGAGAAGGCTGCAGGGAAGGGGGCCTGTGTGTGTCACTGGGAGCCACGTACCTGGGAGCCAGGCTGCCTCTGCCTTCACCTCGCCCTCAGCCTCTCCAAGCTGGTCGCCTGGGGCTCCCTCGGCCAAGTCCACAGGGCCTTCCTGGTTCACGGACAGGGTGGTATGTGTGCTGACCACCAGGATGCCCAGGCCAACCCAGAGTACCACCTGGAAGAGACCAGACGCAGAGCTACAGGGTCACGCAGAGCCTGCATCCCCACCCGTTCTGGGAGGGTGCCAGCGTGAAGCCCCCTCCGTGAGCATAGCACAGAGGCCCCAGCCACACTGACCACAAGAAGGTGACGGTCCCTAACTGATCAGCATGGCCGAATCACGGGCCAAAACAGTGAAGGGGCTCAGGGAGGGGCCACACCCACCAGCAGGCCTCCGGGAGGGAGAGCCAGGCGCCCTGCACACACCTGCGGCTGCAGAGGTCAGGCCCCTTGATGTTTCCGGCCAGAAGACTGAGACCCTCAGGGTCCTTGCTTGTCCCTTCCCCTCACCCAGAGGCCCGGCCGAGGGCCCAGGCCACAGGGTGCCCAGCTACAAATGACCTGCCCCCAACGTGACCCAGCAGGCTGGACACGCCCGCAGCTGCGGGGCGCAGACACGGAGACACCCCGTCCCCTTGGGTGCAGCCCAGCAAACTAAGCTGGAGGCACTGCTGCTCACGTCCCCACCCCGTCCCTCCTGTGATGGCCCTGAAGCCATCATAAAGGCTGCCCTCAGTGACTGGCTCACCAACCCCACCCAGGGAAACCCCCGCCTCCTCCTGTAGCTCCTGCGGGGCCGGGCTCGGATCACCTCTGCTGCCGCACCAGTGGACACGTGTCTGCCCTTCCCGACCCGGCCCGCCTGGCTCTCCCCGAGGACCAGGAAGTCCTGGCTCGGCAGAGAGGGGGCGGCCTGAGCGAAGAGCAGGGAGACACCGCCTCTCACCTCCACGTGCTTAGAGCCAGAGCACACACGTGTTCTGAAAGGCACGCTGACTCTTTAAAAATTTCAGCTCAAAAGAACCAGTCCCAGGCCCGGCACAGTAAGAGATGAGAGAAGCTGTACTCCTGCAGGCGGGAGCCGATCAACGGGGAAAACCTGGGAGAAAGTCTGTCTCCACTGCTGCCTCTCCAGAAACACTGAGCTGGCTGTGCCCGGGGCCGGCTGTGGTTCAGGGCAGCCTGGTCAGTGCCCGTGGGCTCGAGGAGCCCCTCTGGTGCTGACCACTGGCTGGCCCCAGTCAGGGGCGGGGGGGTGCTGCTGGACTCGAGCCCCTAGGGTCTGAGCAGCATCTGAAGTCTGTACAAGACCCAGCTCAGGGCCAAGGGCTCCTGGCTCCTCCCCACAACCCTGAGCCACTTTCTTAAACATGGTGGATGCCCAGCATTTGCTGTGTGCTCACAGATCAGCGTGGTACAGCTGCTCACCGTGAGGAGAAGGTTCATAGAGCAATGCTGGTGTTCAGAGGGAACCAAAGCAGTCTTAATTTTTTTTAAAAGAAACTTTAAATCTCTTACATCTTGTCTTTCTCCAGCTGATGGCTGAGGAACAACAGAAAAAACCATGTCCTGACCAGGACCCCGCGGTACCAACAAGATGAGCCCTGAAGCACCCACACGAGAAAGGAGCCCCACCAGCCCCGCCAGCCAGGCGGGGGGCCGCTCCGGAGCAGCCCGGGGACGGCGCCCAGGTTGGGGGCCCATGAGCCTGGGCTTTGCCAGCAGAACCCCGTCGGGCACAGAGAGATGCTTCACGTGATTCTACGTGTGTTTAGTCTACAGACATGGAGAGTCACACAAAGGTGCCTGTTCACTTCTATAAATGAAGCCAAAGCCAGCGTGAAGCTGGACAGCTCCACTCGGGGACACACTGAGCCGGCCCCTGACCCCTGTGCCGCAGGGGGAGAAACAGCTGGCGGGGGAGGTGAAGTCACCAAGAGAAGCTGTAAGATCAGTGGGTGAAAAGCTAACACACGGGGAACCTGGAGGCTCCTGACGCACAACCAGTCAGAAAGGCAGGAGGAAGGAGACACCCCAGGGCCGCAGGCGCGGGTCCAGCAGGTGGAGGCGGGGAAGGAGGGCTGAGCGCAGCCGTGACGACTGGGAGGCTCACAGGCACACCCTGCAGATGAGCCAGAGGATCAGGGGAACGACTGTAAGTTTACCCACAGCTTCAGTGAATTCCAACCAGGCCAAACCCCAAAAGTTGGGTTTATCTTTGTTATGAGTCAGATCGGCTGATTCAAACATTCATACGGAAAATAAATAAACAAGGATATCCAGAAACATCATTAATGAAAGAGGAGAGCCCAGAATGAAAGCGTTTTCAGAGCCACACGACCCCGTGCGGGGGGCACCAGGGCGAGGCCAGCCATGGCACTGGGCGGGGCGGCCGGGAAGCTAAAATGCAAGCCCAAGGCGAGCCCAAACACGTACAAGAATTTCACACACGGAAGCAGTAACGGTTCACGTCGGTGGTGGGCTAGCAGTGTTCTTGCAACCAGGGAGCCATCTAGAAAATAACTCAGGGTACCTACTTTGTTTCTCACACCAAAGCAGAATTCAGATGGGTCAGAGATTTCAGTGGAAAAACAAAGCCACAGAGGTACTAGAAGAACTGAGGGAAGAATCCCCTGAAACAGCACCCGGGTGGGAAGGCCGTTCTGACGACGACTTTCTTCCTCCCCACTGAGACTTGACAAATGGCGAAATACACTTGCAACCTGGCAGGCAATGGGCTAACTGCATATCGTGAGCAGCTCCTGACTCACTGACCCCTGGCTGAAGACACTGGGGAACAAGCTTAGCGGCCGAGACTTGAGAGGTGAGGCCTGTGAGAACAGAGGCAGCACCGCCGGCTGCCAGCCCAGGCTTCTCCCACAGGGTGCGGAGCAGCAGTCTGCAGCCTGCACAGGTGCACGGGGCGGGCCGCAGGCCTCAGGGATGAGGGGCCACAATCTGGAGGAGAGGAAACCTCAGGGAGGCACCCACGTTCTGTGTGCAGCCCTCCCCCAAGGCACATGCCAGCAACCAGCTGCGCAGACTCACGCAGAGAGCAGATGTCACGAGGATGAAAGCTAAGTGGAGTACGGAAATCCGTGGGTGACCTCGTCTGGCTGAGACTTGGGAAGGAGTGAGGGCAAACCTGAAACAGATTTGCCTCAAGTGGACACAGGTCTCCTGCCCATCCTCTGCCCACTGGACAGAGGGCAGCATCACCCAGAGCCTCTGTGATTTCTCACACACACCTCCATAAACTACCAAGCACACCAGGAGATGGGACCAGGTCACAGAAAACCAAGAGGGTGCAAAGGATCAATATAAACAAATGCTGACTATTCGAACAGTAATAACGTGGTGTTTAAAATATAAATAAACAGAGTTAAAACATCACTGGATACTTGCCTTGCCCAGAAAGTAGTTAAAAAAAAAAGAACTAATTTATGGTCAACTCTAATAAGCCAAGGATTCACATTAAACTGCCTTGTATAACCTCTAGCAGAATAGAATGTACACCACCAACTAACGAAAAGAATAAAGAACACAGACTTACAATGCTTGATTTACCCAAAAGACAGCAAGGAAGAAACAGAAAAAAAGGACAGACGGGACAAATAAAAACCAAAGAGTAAGACAGAAGCTTTAATCCCCCTAAGTCAGTCATTTTGTTAACTGTAAATGGTCCGAAACACTCCGGTTAACAGACTGAATCAAAACGAAACAAAACTCAACTACATGCTCTTACCCGAGATGCACCTTAAATATGAAGGCACAGAGAGATCAAGAGAGGAAGGGTGACAAAACCGCACTGTGCAAATGTAAACCCCAAACAAAGCTGGGCTGGCTGCATTACCTCAGAGCAGGCTGACTGTAAGGAGAGAAGCGTTTCCAAAGATGAAAAGGGACATTTCACAAGACAAAGGGCCATTTTAATACGACATAACCATCTTAAACCTGTGCTCCTAATAACACAGCTTCAAAACAAAATGTGGAGAGAACTAAAGGGAAAATAAACAAGCCTGTAATTACAGCAAGAACTGTCCACCTTTCTCATACCTGACACGCAAGATTAAAGACTCAGCGAGAATGTGTAAAATCTAAAACCGGCCGTCGGTGGCAAACGCGACCCCGCTGCACGCAGCACGCCGCGCCCCACCGCAGCCGACACCGGCAGGACGGGCCGCCTGTGCGCCGCAGCGCCAGCCCCGCCGCCGTCCAAGGACTGAGGCACCTCGGCTTGTGCACGCGCGCCATGCCCGGAATCCATAAACGCCCACAGGTCTGGAAATCTAAAGAAGCCATTGGTGAAAGAAGAAATAAGGATGGAAATTAGGAAAAGCTGTGAGTTGAATGATGACGCCGAATTTTCCACCTACAGTTTGATGCATCCCCGATCAACAGCCAACAGCCGGTTCTGGAGGAAGGTGACGAGCCTCTTCTAAAGCTGAGTTGGAAATAAACGCGAAGGGCCAACGACAGGAAAGACCTTCCTGAGAAAGGATAAAGTTGGCGGCATCAAGGCTCATTGCAAAGCCTCAGCCATTGACACAGGGCAGCGCTGGGGTGGGAGGGACCCACAGGCCAGGGACGGGAGCCCCCGTCCCACACACACGGGAGATCGATGACAATGGTGTCACTGCAACGTCAGCGGAGGGTGCTGATTGGCACCATGTCGACAGCCATGCAGAACATGGACCCAGACCCCTGCCTCATGCCAGTCATTCCAGGTGGAGTGTGGCTCTAAGCGTGAAAAGAAAAATGAAAAGCTACCACAATGTTACATGGGAGGCTATCGTCAAGACCTCGAGAGAAGCAAAAAGTTCTTAAGCAGCACATAAAAAGCACACAGCAAAGGAAAAAAATTCCAAAACCTGAACTACACCAAGATGAAGGACATCTGCTGGTACAAGGTGTCATTAAGAAAGTGAAAAGGCAGCCAAGAGTGAGAGAACATTTGTAATACAAGTTTCCAAAAAAGTCGTACAGCTAGTCTTTTAAATAAGGAGACAGGCAACCCAGTGGGTAAAAATTGGGCAAGACTTGAAAGGCATTCACAAAAGAAGACCCCACATGGCAAAGAAGCATCTGAACGGTGCTCAGCATCAACAGTCACCTGGGGACTGCAAATTAAAACTCGAGTGCAGTCCCGCTACACACCTGTCGGCAGGGCTGGACCCTGAAAAACGGACAGCAGATGTAAAAGCAGCCGGATTTCCAACGTGGTGCCTGAGGACCACTCTGGAAAGTCAGGAAAAGTCTGGCAAAATCTACAGGAACTGGACAGCACCCCAGGACCCAGCCATTCCACACCTAGGTGACAAACAACAGTGCACACACGTGCACCCGAAGGAACGTGTGGAGCAGCCTGTGTGGGACACGGCTCTGGGTGACCGTGAACTTCCAGAGCAGAACAGCCCGGAGCAGGGAGACAGGCAGAATCCTCCAGCCCCGCAGTGACATGCGTGAACTCGGGTGACCAGGCTGGGCAAGGAGCCAGACACGCACCGACACATCCTGTGAGACTCTGCTGGAACCAACTGGAAAGGCAGGCAAGCTTATTCTACAACATTAGAAGACAGACAAGCAGAACATTGGCAGAGGAAAGACAAGGGCAGCCCAGGGAAGTGTCGGGTGCCAGAATGTTCTGTCTCCGCCCTGGACAGGGTTTCATGCCTGGGCTCTCTAAGCAAACCGTTCATCAGGCTGCCCGAGAGAACGGGGCTGTGCCGTGTCAGCGCCGCACTTCCGAAACGCTTACAAGATGCACCAGACAGAAAAAGCGCAACAACTCCTAAAAGGTGAGCCGAGGGCACGGACTACTGATGGAGAGAGAGGCTCAGCTGCACCCCAGGGAGGCCGAGACTCACCGCCGCCCTCAGCCAGACGGAGCGGCAGTGCTGACCTGCACACAGGCCCTCGGGGATCCCGTTCCCAGAAGGCATCCTAGACTCTTCCTCAAATACATGGAAATGCTCGTGCGCAGTCATGCACCAAGGTTTTGTCCGTAACAGGGAAAGGCTGGAGAGGTGGCCCCGCAGAGAGACAGTCCTTAGCGAGACCATAGGGGTGACCTCAGGAGGGACGGGGACAGGGAGTGTGCGGCACACACGGATAGCCCGGTGCCCAGACAGACATGCAGCCACTCGGGAAAATCTGTCCAGCATCTGATGCTCAAATTAGCAAGCTGGGGTGACTCGGATGCCAGGCCCGCAGAGCCTCCCCACACACAGGCGGCCCTCGCTGCCAAGGCTGCTCCCCGCGGCTTAACCCCACATCCGGACCCACGCTGCTTCCGTGCTAAGAAGCACGGCGAGCTCACAGAAGCCATCGGGAGCACGGCCTCCTCCCCGCCCCGCCCCGCCCCGGGCCCGCCCCGAGCGGGGCCACGCAGCACGCACCTGGGAGGACAGCGAGCTCTTGTGGACCTTCCTGGAGATCAGCGCCGGGCAGATGAAGCAGATGAGGCTGCCCATCGTGGCGCCTGTGAGGCCCAAGATGGTCTCCACTGGGGACGAGAGCAACAGGGGTGAGCCGGCAGCGAGCACAGCCAGCAGCCGCCTCGCCACGAAGGCCCGTTGGTGCGCCCCTCCAGACGGCAGTGGGGAGCGGGGCGCAAGGGCACAGGGTGTGAGATCTGACACACCCGCGGCCCCACGTGCGACAGCAGGATGGGCAGCAGGGGAGGAAGGGCCGGCAGCGGGTGCGGCCCCCACTCACCATTTGGGATCATGATTCCACCGAACATGGTTCCGAACACGACCGAAAGGGTGAGGGCTTTAAACCGCAGGGGCGGCATGTAGCCTCCAGCGGCGAAGGTCCCATCTTTTGCTACATGAAAGAAAATAAAAACTAAAGACTTTTGCAATGACCGGTTTCCTCTCCTCTCTCCTGTTAGCAATTCCCCAGGCGGGTCCGCCCCGGGGGCGGCAGGCCCGCTCCGGGCGCAGGCAGGTCGCCTGAAGGTGGACCTGCGAGCGGAACCACAGACACCAGGGAGGCACAGGCTGCTCGTCACGGCCGCTGCGGGGACAAGCGCAACTCTGCCCTGAGATGCAGCGGCGAACCTCGCTCCTGGAGCCACGCCACCCATGAGGGAGACCTGTACAAGTGCCGCACTGCACGGGAAACAGAACGCAGATCTGCCTCAGGGGACGTGTGCGGGTCTCAGGGTGCAGCGGCCCCCCACGCGCACGCGCACCCTCATCCCCAGCAGGCATGTCCAGGAAGAAGACAAGAGGAGAGGTCACGACCGGCAGTGATCAAACTTAAGAGACTCCACCTCCAGCCTCAGGCTCGGCGTCCATACACGCAGGGACCCGGGAGCGTCCCGTCAGGCTGCGGTGAGGACCAAAGGGGGCGAGAGGAGTGAAGCTTCTAGAACAGCAGGGTGCACACAGGAGGGGCTGACCACGATTCCTGCTATTGGGCTAGGAAAGTGCCACTCAAGTAAAGCTTCAGAACCTTCCAGAACTAGGGTGTGGAGGCCCCCGACGTCCAGAATTGTCTTCTGACAGGCAGCTATCTTAGGATGGACCTGTGAGGGAGGGCGTGAGGTCTACACCTTCTAACTCAGGAGCCTGCCTAGAAATTTACCCAAGAAACACTCCACGAGGAGAGGAAGAACCCACATCTACGTGCACGAGGAGGTCATGAGTTACTCCTGAAGGTCAAGGATCAAAGGCCAGCAACAACTGGGACAGCCGACCAGAGGCGAGAGCAAGGGATTCTATGGGAACAGGTGGGCCGGAGGCAGGAGGAGAGCCGCGCGGGGGTTGGGGGCAGAGACATGCACCAGCCCTGCGGGCAGCAGAGCGGCCACCTCAGTGAGGACGGAGGTTCTGCGCGTAAGCCCTCCTCCTGACAGCATTTCCTCTAACGCCGCAGCTGACTCTTTAATTCAAAAAATGAGTAAAATATGTTATGTACAGAAACACAAATGCTGTTCAGATATGAAATGCAAGTTTGTATCAGATGAAAGACCCGTGGCCACGTAATCGGACAGAGCCCAATCAGACTGTGCTCGGTGTCCAAGTCCCTGGACAGCTAACTGGGGGGGTTGGGGGGCCTGGGGTTCCGTCATGAGGCACTGTCCTTGGTGGCAGAAACCACGGGAAGCTGCCTCAACCACACGCCAGCCACGTGGACACTGAGCCTGGTTCCAGTTGTCCCAAAGACCCAAGCAGCCACCCCCCATGCGTCTCCCAGGCTCTCCCCCTCCCCCAGGGCCCAGACAATTCACGTGGAACTTGTGTGGCCACCAGGGGCCCTGGCTGAGACCACGGACCAGGCTCAGAGACTGCAGGTGGTTACACAAGAACAGCCATGACCCGGGCCCTGTCCACGGGCACGAGTTCCCACCCAGGCCCCTCCATCCACCTGGTGGCAGTCAGGGAGCAAGGAGAGCTGTAGTTCCCATGGTATGTTTGACAACTGCTTACAAAGGATGACGTGGCACAGGGCCTACACACACGACAGCAAGCAAAACTCGGTCTCCCTGCAGGCTCAGACATCTGCTGTCAAATTGCTAAACCTCCAGTTACACAAATGTAAAGAGAATAGTGATCCAACCCCAGTGCCCATCCACCCACCCAGCTGGCCGTCATCAGCTCCTGTCGATCAAGCCAGCTCCTCTGCGCTCCCGGCCACTCCGCTCATGCAGGTGGAACTGAGGCCAGCCCCTGACACCCCTGACGGGGGGGGAGCGGGGAAGTCACGGACACAGCCTAACTGCCTGGACGCTGGGCCTGACCCCACATCTCCTGTTGGAATCAACCTGATTGATCAGAGGTTCTTTTCTCCAAAGTGGGTTCAAAACAAGATCCCCATTAAGAGATTTCATTTTATTTGAGTTTTTAGTGTTTATCTAGGAAAAGCTCTGCTGGCCAGTGCCCAGGAAAATGGGGATCTAGCCAAAGCCACTGGAGGAGAACGCAACTGAGACCCGGGCGGCAGTACTTCCCAGCAGGACACCGTCCAGGGGCCTGAGCACCTTACCTGCTGCTCGAAAAGCAGCGTGTTCAAGGCCTGCCTGCAGGGCAGGATCATCATGGGGAAGCCCACGGCCACCGACATCATGAAGCCCACGCGGATCATCTCCGTCACCAGGTTGGACGGGAAGTGCATGAGCACGTTGCCCGCTGTGGCCTCCGCGAAGCTCACATAGCCAAAGAACCCCACCTGCGGGAGGACAGCAGCGGAGGGTGTGTGGCGGGACCTCGTCACGAGCAGGCCCAGCAGCTCGCAGACCGCCTCCTGGACGAGAGAGGCAGGCGGCCTACAGGGACAACGGGGCAGCAGGAGGAGGAGCTACCCGGGTGTAAAGGGGGCGCCAAACGCCCCATGAGGCCAGCAGACAGGCTGATCTTAATCTGGCTCAAAACCCACGCTAGGGAACTGTGGGGCAAACCACGGCCCCACGGGCTGAGGCTCAGTGCGGAGGGCATTTGCGAAGCCGACGAGGGTGGCAGAGCCACAGGGTTCAGGGGAGCGAGCCAGGCTTTCAGCGTATTTATAATTCTACTTGTTACGTGAAAAACACGAGGGCCCGGAGAATTAAAAGACTAGCGGGAAAACCTACACGCGCTGTGTCTGCACCCGTGGGCTGGAGCCCACGATGTTCATCCTCCGCTTTTCTACATTCTCCAATTTCTACAATGGACCACTTCTCTACAGCGAATCAGTGGAGGTCTTGGGGAGGCAGGGAGAGGAGGCACTCCTCCTGGGACTGGGACGGACACCAGCACCAGCAGGGGGGAGCGGAGAGCGGCTGGGCCTGGAGCTGAGCAGACCAGCAGAGCTGCCCGGGGGGCCGCCACCGCCGCCACCACCACCCGGGGCGGGAGGGAGCAAGGGCAGGCCCGCAGTCGGGCCTGGAGGAGCAGGGGGGAGGGTCCCTACCGCGACGTAGAAGGTGGTGACCACGTTGAGGGAGGAGGCGAAGACGGAGCTCATGGCCTTCACCGATGGCTCGTCCAGGCTGTCGTAGGTGGGCAGGACCTGGCTGTGTGAGAGGCAGCGACTTCACAGAGAGGCTCCAGAGAGACACGCCCTCCCCCGGGGCCCCAGCCAAGTCTCCGACAGCTGCCTTCCCACCCGGAGGGCCACCGCCAGAGCCGAGGCCACAGTCTCCTGCCACAGGATGGCCCTCGCAGCCCTCCCCGAACGCGCGCTCCGTGAACGGCTCAGGCTCGGAAGTGCCGCAGACCGAGCGGCCGGCTGTTCCGCGGCAGCGGGAGCGGGAGCGC